ATATGAACAGACTCCAAATAAACATAAACTGCTCTGCAGGATATAAAATTCACCGATATATCCCTCTTGATAAACTCTGCTCTGCTTTCTTCATCACTACGTTCATATATTCTGTTATCCGTCCTACATATTTGTATTGTAGGATTATCGTGTAGATGGTCGCACCACCTGGCCTTTGGATTTCTCCGCCGATCAACTGGTCGGACCGTAGGTTCATGCCTTTGTCGCGGACCAGTTGGTTGGACTATTTGGCGTTCACATCTACTTGACGTCACTTCGCCGCCGACCAGTTGTTTGGGTTGCTCGGCACTGGATTCTTCGCCAACCAACTGGTCAGATTGTCTGTCCCTTCATCATTAGTGATGCTGGGGGCCCACCTGCTAGGCTAGGGACTCTTCGATGTTCGAATTCTTCATGCAAGCATCGCCAGCTAAGCTGGAGACTCCTCGGGCGATTGGATTTTGCTACGTCTCGACTGTCGATTCGCCTTTTGGCTCACTACATTTTGCCGACGCTGCATGTAATATGTGGTATCAAGGTGCTCCATGCTATCTAGATCAGGGTGCTAATCCTAGGCGGCACGTCAAGAGCCTTGATAAGTACATTTATCGCAGCAACCCAGTGCTAAGTACTTTCTATTTTCTCCATGTTTTACTTCTCGATGTTATCGAATTTTACTACCCAGTGCTAAGCACGGGGATTTTGTCCTTTTCACTTGTTTCTTTTATCCTGCTATAAGATCTGCTCTATCTTACAGCAGGCTCGGGGACTAAGTGTGTACACTTCACCTAGCAGTGAGTGTATTGTTTTTCCTCTTACTGGTCTTCAGCTAAGTTAGGGGCTGGCTGTGTGCTCGGCTAAGCTGGGACTCAGTTATTCTGATTAACTGATCGTTGTACTTCTTTGATCCTGACACTAGGTGCATTCTTCACCTACTATCAGGCTCGAGGACTACAATGTATACATTACACCTTGCGGCGCATGTATCAATACTAACATCCTCTTTGACTAAGTCATGGATGATGATCATCTTACTTCGCCAACGAAGCCTAAGTGTGTACACTTCACCTAAGGTCGATGTCTCCAGCAAGCTCCACCGCTGTTTTCTCTGCTAATCAACTGGTCGGACCGCTAGGTTCATGTCCTTCATCGCCAACCAGCTGATTGGACTATTCGGCGCTCACTTCACCGCCGACCAGTTGGTTGGGCTGCTCGGTGCTCGATTCTTCGCCAACCAATTGGTTGGATTGTTCGTCGCTTCATCACTAGCTAAGCTGGGACTACTTGGCATTTGGATTGTTCGTCGCTTCATCGCCAGCTAAACTAGGGACTCAACGTTCGGAGTCTTCGTGTAAGAGTCATCAGCTAAGTTGGGGACTCCTTTAGCGGTCGGATCTTGCTATGTCTCATCGGTGTGCTATCAGCTTGCTCCATGCTGTTCGGATCAGGGAGCTGATCTTGAACAGCATGTCTGGGGTCTTGATACGCACATGACAGATGACACTGGCAAGCTTACAGGCTTATTTTCTTTGACCCTACTACAAGATTTATTTCTTCATCTTCCAGTAGGCTACTCTTCACCCGACGATGAATGTAGTGCTTATTTCCTGATTTAACCTCCTTATTAACCAAGTCATGGATCATAATCATCCGACCTTGTAAACAGAGTCTAAGTGGCTACACTTCATCTGAGGTGAATAATTTTTAAAATTAATCTTGAGCCCCTTATATCCTTTTGGCAAGCTTTACTTGGCCAAGTTCGAGGTCTCCTAACCAGTTAGAATGGTCGGCTTTAACTTCCACCGCTTGGATCACCAGTTAAACTAGTCGACACTTCATTTTATTGATTGGATTACCAGTTAAACTGGTCAGATACTAGATTTATTGTCTGACTACAAGATAAACTCCTTGGACTTGCTCAAGACGATGATGCTCAGCAAATACAAGGCACTCGGGGACTAGCTGTGGGGGATATAACCCTAGGTACCCATGGCAGTAGACATGGGCCGCACCACCAGGGGAGGTCCAGCCCATAAGGAGAAGGCGTGTGACGCAAGACACCGATCGACATGCATCACACAGTTTCAAGAAAGAATCTTGAAGATAGAGAAGGATCTGTTCGGATATGATAGATATCGTATTCCTTGTAAATACTTACCATATAGCCGAATAGATCTAGATCTAACCGACTTGTAACCCTACTCTCCAAACTATATAAGGCGGGCAGGGACCCCCCTCGAAATCATCTCATATACAATACAATACCCCCCTCAAACCTGTCTAATTCACTGTCTCTGTGCTTGTGTCACCATTCGGTTCCTATTACACGCTCCTCTACCGATTCATCTACTATCGTGGGCATACCTCTCGGTAGACTGCTGACCATATTTCGTCGACAATATTCCAGTCGGTCCAGTCAATCCTTTTTTCAATCAGAGATTCCTATGTTTCAGCCGGTGTGTGCATTTGCATCACCACGGGATGGTCACGTGCTTGTGAGTCAAGTGATCTAAGATTTGCGCGTTCTAGCGTGGTGGTGTGTGCACATCTTTTACCCCAATAAGACATTAAACTCAACATTTGGTGGCGGCCAAATACAATACAAGTATTACCTTGGCAAATACTTCCTATTAAGACTCTATTTGGCACAGCTTCACTAACAGTCTTTTGCCAAACACCTTTTTTTGAAAACAACTTCATACATGAAGCTTCTTTTTTGTGCTGTCACAATGGGATGGGGTAGGAGAGAGTTAAAAAAAATAACTTATCACAGCTTCATCTAACACAAGTGAGCCTGGGCCTAAAAGACCGCATGTGCTCTCTCTAAGGGAAGGAGAACATGGGGAGGCACGGGGGGCGCAGAAGGCGGGCCATGGCCGTCAGGGCGCCACTCATCAGGGGAGGAGACAAAGAAGACGAGCGTCACGGCTGAGCTAGTCACGGGCGATCGAGCTGCCATGAGGGGCGATGTCACTGGGGACGCGAGTTGTGCTGGGGTAGGCACAGCCACTAGGGCGCTAGCGCAACGGCTGGGGCGCGGGCGAGCGTTAGCGTCGGGGCGGGGTGGGATGAGGGGATGGGACGGGGGCCAGGGCTCGGCTCGGCTCGAGGCTGTGTGGGGCGGCGCGCCAGTGAAGCTATCGGCAAGGGCGGGGTGGAGGCGTAGGCGAGGCTATTGACGAGTGCGTGGCCGCCAAGGCTCGGCTCTTGGCGGGGCCGCAGCGAACTAGAAGAAAGGGCGAGGTGGGGAAGAAAGAAAAGGTGGGAAAGAGAATGGGAAAGAGAATAGAAAAGGAAAATAAAAAAAGAGAAGGGTATAACGCCCGTTTGATCTTTTTCACTAGGAGATGCTGTTTTGTCAAATGGGTTTCCGGAGCAGTTTTAGCTTCAATGAGAAAGCTACTCATGCAAACGGAGCCTAATTCCGTATCGGGACTAGCGCCGGGATGTCTGGACAAAAGCGCGCGTCCAGACGCCCGTGCCTCTCCGTCACGCACGCCACGCCTCTCTGTCATGCACGCCGCTCCTTCCTCTATCCCTTCGTGAGTCTGGACGCCGTGCCTCCTCACCGCACCCGCCGCTGCCCCCACACGCTCCTTCCTCCTGAACCCCGGCCTCTCTCCGCACGGCAGGACCCAGGAGCAGGGATGAGGATGACTGGACAAGCGCGTCCCGTCCGCACGACCCCTAGGTGCGCCGCACACCTCGACTGTTGGCCCCCAACACGCCCATCCACTGGCCCTGGCTCGCCGTGCCCCATCCTCGGCGCCCGGGCTGTGCCCCATGACTCTCTACCTCTGAAATATGAAACACTTGGTTGCAACGTATGTTTAAAGTAGATGAAACATTTAGAAATACACTTGAAACATGTGTGTGAAACATATGTAGCATCCAGATAAAACACTTGCATCTTGCAACATGAAAACACTTATTGCAACATAAGACTGAACGACTGAAATATTTCGAACATACTCTTGCGATATAGTGAAACATATGCAACATCCAGATCGAAACGCTGGCAACATCAGGATCGAAACGCTTCTGAAACAGAAGAAACATTTTGAACAAACGCTTGCAACATGCCTTTCAAACACTTGCAACATGCCTCTGAAACACTTGCAACATCCCGATATGCTTTTTGTAACATCCACATAAAACACTTCCAATATACCTCTGAAATATCTGAAACAATTGAAACATAGTTTGCAACGTGTGCTTTCAGTACAATATCTCCTTATTGTTTTGGAATGGAGGTTCATCGACACATGGAGTTCACCGGTGTGGAGCTTGCCGGTGACGTGGAGCTCGCCGCTCCAGTGGAGAAGGCCACGACAAGTCCAGTGTAGAAGGCCACGGCAGGTCCACGCGCTCTAGAAAGCCGCGGTGGGTGAGAGACATGGTGGAGAGGGAGGAAGACAAGCTGCGGTGCTCTGGAGCGGTGGAGATGCCGCATGGCGGAGCGCAGGCACGGTGGAGAGGGAGGCGCGATGGAGAGCGCAGTCGCTGTGGCGGCGCGGCGGAGCGTGGTTGCGGTCACGGTCTCGCAGAGACCTGTCGCAGTGCTATGGTGAGATGAATTTTTTAAACAATTGAGGGCGAGTGGATGAGCACATAAAGAACGGTCATTGGGCTGAGACAAGTGGCCCACCATCTGAAGTGTCCGGCGCGGACAGACAACCAAGAAGAATTACCGATTCCGTATATGCAATTGCGGTTTCCACCTTCAGTTTCTACTTTGTGTGGCCTAGAGAGTGAATAGGCACGACCAACCGGGTTGCCACACGTGTGATTTCCTCCCGTCCTGCAGCTATGCAGCGGATAAGGTCCCCTATGCCCACGATCGAAGTTCGAAGCTTCGAACCGATCAAGCCAAGCTGGCGGTTCTCCCGACCAGGCAACCACTGTCCATCCAGAAAGTGATGATGGGCCCGGTTTGAGCTCCGCCCTCTCTCATCAATCGGCTTGGTATCCACTATCCACGCCTGAGCACACTGAGCGGCATGGCGGCGTTCATGGCTAGCGGCTGGGCCATGGCGTCGAGCAGGCCAAGCTTCGTCACCCCTCGAAGCTTCTTTAACTGGGGCCAAGGCGCGAGAGAAGCCGCGCTGCCGCCGCCGCAGCTGCAGTTCCGGTACCACGACGTCGAGCCGCCGTTCCCCATGTCGCTCGTGACAAAAACACACCTCAGAGGTAATTACAGTATATGCTCTTGAATTAATTGATTGTCATACGATTGTGAATCACATAATTGTCATAGATTTTATTTTTGCAGTTAGCGCAGTGCCTAATGTTCTTTGTTTTCTTTGCATGATGTTAATGGTGCAGACCGTGAGCTCAAGTGCTGCTACAAGGCCACCGTGGACGGCTTCAGCGCGACGGACTTCCACCGGCGGTGCGACTTCAAGGGCCCCTGCGTCGTCGTCGGCTACACCGACTGTGGCTTCCGGTTCGGCGGGTTCAGCCCGGAGGGGTACCGCAGCACGGACGACTACTACGACACGCTGGACGCGTTCCTCTTCTACTGGCTCGACGACGAGCTTGCTCTTGCTGCGCCAGCGGAAGCCACCGAGGCCTCACCGCCGCTGCCCGTGGTGCTGCCGAAGGTGGGCGGGAGCGGCGCGGCGCTGTTCGACTACTCCCGCGGCGGGCCACAGTTCGGCGCCGACGGCCTGCTCATCGGCCCGCCACTCACCGCCGTGATGGGCGTGTTCACTGGACCCGACTCCAGCGCCGGCGTCGGCGACCTCCGCAGCGCGCGCTCGCGGCTCGGCCTGTCGTACGCCAGGCGGCCGGATGGGAAGGAGAGCCTGTTCGGCGACGAGGGCAGGGCCCAGCTCGCGGAGGTGCTCGTCTTCTGCAACCCGGAGATCGCGAGCCTGTACTGAGTGCTCATTGTCAGTAGCTTCCAGCTAGTGTGTAACTGTTCATGATTGCTCAATTTGGAGTCTAAAAACATACCAATAACGATGTAAAATTGTACGTATAGTTAATTAGTTTATTAAGTTCTTGAAAAATCATACCACTGATATAGAAACCTTTTTAAATTCTCCAAAGAAAATGCCAGCCCACGGCTATAGCACCTGGAGTGGAGAACCAAAACAAAAAAAAAAAAAAAAAAACAAAAACATCAAACTATCCACTGTTTTCTCTTACCAGAACGCTAGTGCTTCCTAACAATCCAAGACATGCGCCTGTGCTTTCTATTTTTAATCTGCAATTAAAACTTCAAACTAGCCTTTATCCCTCGTACATACTTCAAATTAGTCTATTGTTTCTAAAATCTGTACGATGGGCTAAAAAGCGAATCGATGTTAAAAATTGTATGAGCCGGATTATATGGCTGATTTGACACTCAAAACAAATATGGGCCAAAAGAAAGTCTAAAAAATAGGCCAGGATAAAATAGCAAGCAAAGCAACATTCTCGTTATGACGAGTCCAATCTAGGCGGTTCGCACGTTAATTGGCATCACATGCCAAGCCCACCACATGAGCGCTTCAAGAACCACACCAGAGAGACACTACAACTAGCAATGATTGCACTAGATTTGCTCTGCGAATGTAACACCCTAGTGTTAAGCATTACATTTGGCACTTGCATTTTATGAGCACAAGCATCATCCAAGCATTCATGAACATGAGCATATGAAATTTCATCTCATTCTTATACCTTATCACATAAAATGTTGATTTTATATATATGCTTATGCTTGCAATCATGTATGACCAATGTATGAAATGGTTGTAAGGGCACCAATATACCTTAGACACATCTAGAATGGTGAATAGAACAACTTTTGTATTCATGACATGGACCAATTTTGCTTCTAAGTGTTGTACTTTGAAATATCATTTTCATGAGGCTAGTTTGACCAAAGTGGAACAGTACCTTAGAGTATTTGCATGGTTGTGTGACCTAAATAAAAGTTGTAGTTCACATCAAGGGTAACAAACTTTATTTAAGGGTCATGAGCTGAATCAGTGTCTAACTTAGTCAAATAGGGCTCACAAAAATCAACAAAATGTTGTTTTGAAACTTAGAAAATTTTGCTAAGTCATGTGCCGACTACAATTTCAAAGTACTCTACTTTGGAGCTTTGTAGATTAAAAACCGTTGGGAATTAGGCCAAACTCCTTTAAGCATTTTTGTAGTACTCACTTAGCTCTACAAATTTGATTAAGGAACACTACACCATGACACACAATTGCCTACAGTTATGTGTTGGCAAAGGGATGGTTTCAACTACACATTATCTGTTGGTAATTGTACAACCTTTTAATGTCATATAATCTGTCGGCAATGATGTTGTATGGCTACAAATCAACTGATGGCATTGCTCTGGGGACACTAAAACTGTCGGCAAACATTTGTAGACACAATAAGTGTCGGCGTAGCCTAACCGAGCCAACAACTCAAGTGTCGGCAAAAGTGTGTATGGTAGTGGCCGGAGAAACGAAAAAAAACCCTCAGAATATACTCCCCCTCTCTCCCTCTCGTCTCCTCCGTTCCTCCGCCGCTCTCTCGTCTCCGTCGCTCCACCCTCTTCCTTCCTCCGCCTCGCCTCTCCCAGCACCGGCGCCGCCCCCCTCCCCTTCACCTACGTCGGCGCTGTGCCCTCTCCAGCGCCATGGCTCCACCACTCCTGTGCCTCTGGACGGCCCCCGGCGTGCCGCGAACCCTAGGGAGGCCCCCCGCGCACCAACCTGGCACGGCACGCCCGGACCTGCTGACGGGACGGCCGCCGGCGCGGCGCAGCGGCGTGGGTGCCCCCCTGGCGCGGCCGGCTTCCGCCGTGGCACCATCGCCACGAGCCGCCCCCGGTACAGGCGGCCTCTATCATCGTTGCAGTTGACGCTAGTGAACCCCGCCGCCGTCGTCACGCCAGATCCATGTTTTCGTCGAGGTTTGCCGTTTTCCGCCTGATTCACAATGTACGGTTCCTTGTTTTGTTTGATTGAAAATTTTTCATGTACTAGATGCATGCCGAGTTTCCTTATATAGAGAGTGCTGATGGCGACGGCCTACATTAAGGTTGCATCTCCCAGGGTTGTTTGCAATATTAACTTTGTTTTCTGCTAATAGGATTGGTTTACAACGTTTTGCTTACAGAGGGCACGTAAAAGAAAAGGAAGATGGCGAATGTATCAAGTTTATTGATATTTCCCATGCTTAGTATTTTATTTCAGTGTCTACAAAATTGGCTTCTGTTCTTTGTTAACTGACTTTGGTTTACTACGTGCTAATTAGTTGGTTTCTAGGGTTTAGTTTGTGATTTATAGCGCGTTCGTCCGCTGCCATACTGTTGCCTGTGCTCTTTGCTAATTACACTTTGTTTGGTATAGGTGCTGCTTGGTTACCTTCCATATTTTTGTTTTTCGTTTACAGTATATTTGTGTGCTTGTCTTCTTAGGTTTCCTGTTTCCAGTGTTGGAGCGTGCTACTAGGTGCGAATTAATTTGTTTTCTGATTTTCCTGTTTGTGATTTATAGCGCATTTGTCCGCTGGCGTAGGCCTCTGCTCTATGCTAATTAGATCGGGTTTAGTAGGTGCTGCTTAATTAGCTTAATTTCATATTTTTTGTTTTTCCATTTACAGTGTATTGGTATGCTTCTCTTCTTAGATTTCCTGTTTGTGGCATTTGAGGGTGCTACTAGGTGCTGATTAGTTTGTTTCCGTATTTTAATTTGTCGTTTGTAGCTCATTTCTCCACTGGCATATGCTCTTTTGCTAATTAGATTGGGTTTGGTAGCGCTGCGGCATTATCTTTCAGATTTTTGTTTTACATTTACAGTATATTTCTATTCTTGTCTTCTTAGGTTTCCTCTGTCGTTCAACGGTGCCGCTCGCTGTGTATATGTTTATATCCATAATTTTCCATTGTGCCAGCTGTGTGACTGCCCGACGCTTATACTTCAGTAGAAAACAAAATTAACATCTATGCCTTCCTACGTCCAGGTTGAATACAAGCACAACCATAATTTGTTGGTCTCTTTGTCATTTTGCTGATTGTGCGGAGCCTGTCTTGACAATCGTGCACATATGCTGTTGCGATGGACAGTCAATTTCCTTTTAAAACAACCTCTATCATAGTTTGTTACATATATATCTTTTCTCGGGTTCATGTCTTTCGCAGCTGTGTAGCTGTTGGTTGCTTCCGAGGGACTAATCAGTGTGTTGGGTTTTTTTATAATAGTTCTGCTAATACACATGATTTCTTCCTTCTGCTTTCTTAAGGTAAGTAGATTGTGCTCCTGCTCTTATCTGTATTTTTTTGCTCTATACTGCAGCCTTGATTGTGCTTCTACTTTTCTCAGTTTTTTGTTCTCTATGTTACAGCCTCTTCTACTTTTCTCAGTTTTCTGTTCTCTGTGTTACAACCTCAATTTATGGCTGTAAAATTATTCCCTGGATTCACATTTTTACGGTTATTCACATAAACATCGCGCCTTGATCGTGCTTCTACCTTTCATCATTGATTAGTTCTCTTTTTTTCTTTACATCTTTCCTTTGTTGATTAGTTCTAATCCAGCTATTAACCTACGCTCTGGTCACGATTTCTCGTCCTCCACATGGTCCTTCAATTTCCTATTTTTTCCCCTGTCCGCATAGGAGCAGCAATAAGAGTTCCTGTGATTAGATTTGGCTGTGATGCTTCAATTCCATGTGAGGCTGTTTCCATACATGTTCAGTGATTCATCATATGCAGGTAGGTTTCCCATTTGCCAATTGTTGTTGCTTTCTCTAGTACACGTAGGTTCTTTCCAGATCTAACTATGCTATTTGTACAGTTCATATCAGCCTTCAATCTGTTAGAACGCCCCTTCCTAATTACTATGGGTGACCATATTTATTTGGTACATGTTAGATGTCCTTGTCGATGATTGATTGGAACAACAAATTGATAGAAATTAGCATTCTTTTCGGAATTTCAACTGGTATACACTTACTAAAATGGGGTTCTATACTTTCCAGATGGCAGTGTCATCGTATATTTATGCAGCTTCCCTGATTTCAGCCTATAGTATTCCCCTCTAGGGAAAAGCAGCGAACCTTCTTGTTTCAGGATGAATCACGATGCTGGTTCGGGCAGTCTGCTTGGAAATTGTTGTTCCTTTCCATCATTTAGTTGTTTATTACGAAATGATATTTTTCATGTTGACATAGTATATAAGTTTAGAATGTGTGCAGACTCCTGCATCCTATTATACTCTCCGCTTACTTTGTCTAGAACTCTAGATCCTTGATTTGTTATGCGGCTCCAATTTTTTGTTGTCTTGTTATATTACTTGTTGCTTGTTGCTACTGCTACTTGGGATGGCTAGCTGCTACTGAAATTTCTCCTTTTTGACATGCACTGCAATTCAGATGGTAACCCCTTCTAGTAGCACCCAACCTGAGAAGTTTGAAAGCTTCTGGACATGCCTGGAAGACAATGAAGAGGATCTGATGGAGTTGTGCATCACCTCTGTCATCCCTAGCTTGCAGCTTCAAAACAGGTTTGGAAACAAAGAACTCAATAGTCCTGTAGCTTGCATTTGATTCTTTTAACCACTAATATGGTCCACTGACTGCATGTGCAGCCCATGATATGTTCTGGGACAGGGAGGATGAAATCGAGGTCACAGCGAGCTGAAGAAACTCAGTAAAGAGAGACCAAATGTTCTCCTTCAATTCCTTCGTCTTATGGCAACATCTCAACACTTCTAAAATTGTAAGTTTGCTTTATCTCTTTTTGTATTATGTATTCTTATATGAGTTCTCACGTAAGTTTTTGTATCAGTAATGGGAATCTTCGCCTGGATACGTGGTCTACAATGCATCAAACAATGAGCTTGTGAGGACTCAAACCCTTGTGCAAGTTGATGCTGCCCCATTCAAGTAGTGG